GTTGAGTAGTTCTCGATTTACGAACGGTTGAGTAGTCCTCGACTTACGACTGGTTGGGGGTCGTGGCATTAAAAAGGTTGAGAACCACTGACTTAGACTTATATACCACTTCACAGTGCTTTACAAACCTCTCTAAGCAGTTTACAGAGTCAGCCTATTGCCCCCAACAATCTGGTTCTCATTTTACCGACTTCAGAAGGATGGAAGGCTGAGTCAACCTTGAGCTGTTGAGACTTGAAATGCCGAACTGCTGGAGTCGGGAGCCAGCAGAATTAGCCTCGGTGGTGGAATTCAGCCGGTTCGCACCGGTTCAGTAGAACCGGTAGCTAAATTTTGCTGAGTTCAGCGAACCAGTTGAATGCACACTGTTTCCTGAAGTCCAGTCTAGGCCTCAGAGACCTGGAGGAAGCTTTCCAGGCCTGGAATGGCCCACCAGAAGTGCGTGGATGCCTCTTCCGGAAGTCTGTTCTAGGCCTCGGAGGCCTGGAGGAGGCCTCTCAGGCCTAGAATGGCCTGCAGGATGTGCATGGATGCCACTTACGGAAGTCCATTCTAGGCCTCGTAGGCCCAGGCCTGCATTGTGGTCGTAAGTCGAGGACTACCTGTATTGCAGACTACCTCTGCCCACAACAAAGGTATTTGATCTGACAGGGCTCAAGGCTTGATCTGACATGGTCCTAGGACTTGAACCGCTGGAGCAAAGACTGTCTCCAGCATCATTAAGCCGCTGAGCCACAGCAACTCTCAGAAGAAACAGAGAGAAAGGGAAAAAGCTCTTCCTTCTGTTTGACCCTCCTGCTCAGAGCTGATCACCTCCAATCTTTCCCACCTTCTCCACCATGTATGGTGGACGGAGAGATTAGGTGACTTTTCCCCCCTCCAGTTTCCTTCAAAGGAAGGAAAAATTCTCCAGTATGTCTCAAGGGCAAGAATCCGTAATGGTGACAATTTTGACAGCAACGCCAGCAGTGTCCTATGGAAGATCTCCCTCTTGACTTTGGGATGTCATAAAAGCCATTGAGCAATGACAACAATGTGCATTTGTCATCATTTGCTCTCAATCCAGAGAACTAGGAACATAGTTTGCAGGCCTCCATAACACAGATGGATGCTTGCAGAGTTTACTTTCCTCCCCAGAGCCAGTTGGACCATCCCTGTAAATATTCAGAAGCATTTCCAACCTTGGGGTGCCATCCATAAGGCCCATGTCTTGACAGTTTTATACCTGCAGGGTAAGATGAGGTTCAGATGAGTGGTTTTTTTTAAAAAATTCATTGACAAATAAGCTTGACCGGAGAAGTGTTTTGCCTCATTAAATTTACCCATCAGGACTTTCTGGAGGGGTGAATAGACTGTAGATATTCTTGTACATAAAGACCGTCTTACAGCAGGAAGGACGAGCTGATCTAACTGATCAAATTGCAAATTTAAGAAGAGAGAGTTCTTTTCTTGTACGTACTTGCATGTTGTGTTTCTTAGATGTGAGGCAGTAAACTGTCTGAATGCTAAGGGCAAGCAGCAACTTTAGTTCTGCGATTGATCATGATTAGGAAGGAACCATTAGAAACATCAGGGCTTAATGAACAATTGTCTGTCAAAGGTTCCCTATTTGCACGCGCACGCGCGCACACACACACACACACACACACACACACACACACACATTTCTCTAAAACAGACATGTCAAACACACGGCCCAGGGGCCGGATGTGGCCCGCAAAGTGGTTTCATGTGGCCCGCGAAACCATCCTGGAAACAGTAAGGGAACGGCCCCCGCTGCCTTGGCCCTGGTCTAGGCCAGCCGGGAGCCAATGTACAATTTTGTGGTGGCCATCTATGCTGAAACGTGTTCAGTCTTAGCTCCACAAGGCCATCTGGAAACAGCGAGGAACCAGCCCCTGCCGTGTCGGCCCCACCTCCTGGGTGCATGCTGGGGAGGTGTCACCCTTTGTGAGGAACGAAGAAATGCACCATGCCTTAGCGCTTGCCCCGGTCCCACCCCCTTCTGCCAGAGACCCTCAGATCTATCCCACTCCTGCCCAGGCCCCCACAGGCACCCTTGACGCGAACGATGTAGAGCTGGCCACACCCACCCAGTAGGCCACACCCACTCCATCCACACTCATCCAGTAGGCCACACCTACCCTGGCCACACCCAGCCAGCCCCCGCGAGGGCAACTGCAATGCTGATGCGGCCCTCAATGAAATTGAGTTTGACACCCCTGCTCTAAAAGGAACATTCGGCACGGTTGTGCTTTCCCACAGGGAGTTTTATCCAAGAGATGAATGGATTTGGTTTCCTTCGAATGGCTGTTTCTTTTAAGTATTCCTTCTGATCTTCTGCAGGGAGCAAGCAGAAGCTAACGGTAACAACAGGGAGAAAATAAATTGCAGTCCCAGCTCTCCAAGCTCAAGAATGAGATGGAGGAAGGAGACAATCAGAATAAACAGAATAAAAGTGTTGGAAGGGACCTTGGAAGTCATCTAGTCCAACCCCCTGCTCAGGCAGGAAACCCTATCATTTCAGACAAATTGTTGTCCAATCTCTTTTTAAAAACTTCTAGTGTTGAAGCATTCACAGCTTCTGGAGGCAGGTTGTTCCACTGGTTAATTGTTCTAACTGTCAGGAAATTTCTCCTTCGTTCTAGGTTGCTTCTCTCCTTGATTAGTTTCCATCCATTGCTTCTTGTCCTGCCTTCAGGTGCTTTGGAGCAGAGGTCCCAACCTTTTGGGCACCAGGGACCGGTTCCGTGGGGAGAAGTTTTTCTGTGGACTGGAGGGTGTGTGGTTTTGTGTGCTGCCTGCATCTCACAGATGAGGCTTTGCTTGTTGGTGTGGACTGGTTGCTGGCATGCCGCAACCCGGTACTGGTCCATGGACCGCAGGTTGGGGACCCCTGCTTTGGAGAATAGGTTGACCCCCTCTCTTCCTTGTGGCAGCCCCTCAAATATTGGAACACTGCTATCATGTCACCCCCAGTCCCTCTTTTCATTAAACTAGTCATACCCAATCCCTGCGACTGTTCTTTGTTTTATCCTCCAGGTGTTTGGAGAATAGGTTGACCCCCCCCTCTTCTTTGTGGCAGCCCCTCAAATATTGGAACACTGCTATCATTGGAAAGCTCATTGGGCATGGACTGATAGGTTTGCAGGCTATTGTGCTTGCCCAAAAGAAGACATGCAATTTTGAACTGCATCCAGAGAAGTGCAGTTCCAGGGTCATTGCTTCCTCTGTCCTGGCATCTACTCCCCTCAGAGCTATGGGTGCCGATGCCACATATGGATCTTATGTGCCAAAACTACACCTCATTCAAGGGAATCATATGTCAGATCTATCCGTGTGCTGGAGCAGATAATTTACGTTCTGATGGTGGTAGAGGACGCCATTGTTACTGCCCCTTTTGATAAGATCACTTTAATAATAATAATAATAGTAGTAAAGTTGGAAGGGAACTTGGAGGTCATCTAGTCCAACCCCCTGCTCAGGCAGGAAACCCTACACCATTTCGGACAAATGGCTGTCCAGTCTCTTCTTAAAAACTTCCAGTCTTGGAGCATTTACTGCTTCTGGAGGCAGGCTGTTCTACTGATTAATTGTTCTCACTGTCAGGAAGTTTCTCCTTAGTTCCAGGTTGCTTCTCTCCTTGATTAGTTTCCACCCGTTGCTTCTTGTCCTGCCTTCAGGTGCTTTGGAAAATAGCTTAATTCCCTCTTCTTTATGGCAGCCCCTGAGATATTGGAATACTGCTATCATGTCCCCCCTTGTCCTTCTCTTCGTTAAACTAGACATACCCAATTCTCGCAACCGTTCCTTATATGTTTTAGCCTCCAGTCCCCTAATCATCTTTGTTGCTCTTCTCTGTACTCTTTCTAGAGTCTCAACATCTTTTTTACATTGTGGTGACCAAAACTGGATGCCGTATTCCAAGTGTGGCCTTACCAAGGCCTTGTAAAGTGGTATTAATACTTCATGTGATCTTGATTCTATCCCTCTGTTAATGCAGCCTATGATGGTATCCTTAAATTCCTGCAAAGATGTTTGAATGGTTAGAAAAGTCCATTCTGGACATTTTATTGACCCAATAAAGGAGAATATTTGTAGTCTGGGGTTGACATGAGGTATCCTTGGTGCTCTCTGAGTTTGCTTGTTCTTTTGCAGACTACTCGCTACCCAAACTAGGTATCATCATCGATGCTAGTCAGACTAGTACTGATGATGTTACCTAGTTTGGGTAACGAAACATCTGGAAGGAAACAGCCAAGCTCAGAGAGCACCAAGGCCTCCTTAGTTAGCCTTGGAACTATAAAAGTCCCAAAGATGCTTTTTCAAAAGGCGGCTGGACGTTCTTTGTTTGAAGACGTTTCGCTTCTCATCCCAGAAGCTTCTTCAGTTCTGATTGAATCTGAACCGAATTCTGAGTCAGAACTCGAAGAAGCTTCTGGGATGAGAAGCGAAACGTCTTCAAGGAAAAAGAAAGGAAGTCCAGTCGCCTTTTGAAAAAAAGCCTCTTTGGGACAACCATGATCTGGATGACTGAGAATCTCCATAGATACTGAGGTACAAATATCCTCTTCTATTTGTATAAATCTTTACCTCTCCAAGCCACAGTAGGAAACTTCACCATGGATCTGGAGACTGTTAGGTACTGGATGGGATAAAACAGTCTTAACCCCAGCAAGACAGAGATGTTGTTTGTCAAAAAAAAAAAAAAAAAAAAAAAACCCAGACAAACAAATAAACAACCTAGCTCTGTGTCCCAGGAAGAGCTCATAGCTGTGGCATTTTTAACCTTATGAAGATAGTTGAAAATCAGTTGCCACGTTTACTGTTGCATTTTCAAAACTTTGCAATCAGCTGTACAAATGGAAAGCGTCAAGCAGGATCCTTGCAGAGGCTTAGTATGGAAAGGTCACACCGGGGTCCTTTAAATACTATTTTTATTTCCTGTTGCTACTGGAATGGCTGTGCACAGCGTGGTGTGCATAAAATGGATGCAGAAGAAACAACCGCTTCCTTTTGATCCCGAGAACAAAAATTAGGAGGAAGCATCGGGGAGTAAAAAAAGCAAGGAAGTAGACGTGGATGTCAGACCGCCAAGGTGAAGCAGAGAGGAGACAAGACCAGGTGAATTAGACCTACTTTATTGTAACACAATCGTGCAAGTGTGAAGGTACAAACTCTTACCCTCCACTTTTAACTGCCTGCTGTATTAGAGCTGACTTGCGACTGAAATGGTGGCCTCAATTATGCAGTCCCAAGTCAAGGACTTCCTGCACCCATAGACAATGGTGGGATTCAAATGCCTGAACAACCGGTTCTATTATGTGGGCCTCCAATGTCTAGAACAGACTTCCGGAAGTGGTATCCATGTACTTCCGGTGGGCCGTTCTAGGTCTGGAAGGCCTCCTGCAGGCCTCCGATGCCTAGAATGGACTTCCGGAAGTGGTATCCATGCACTTCCGGTGGGCCATTCTAGGCCTGGAAGGCCTCCTGCAGGCCTCTGGTGCCTAGAACGGATTTCCAGAAGTAGTAGCCAGCATTTCTGGTGGGCTGTTCTAGGCTTGGGAGGCCTCCGAGGCCTAGACTGGACTTCCAGAAACCAGCCGATTCTCCGAATTCAAGTAAATTTAGCTACCGGTTCTCCTGAACCGGTGTGAACCTGCTGAATCGCACCACTGTCCATAGATCAGCCACATTGTGCCATGTCTGTCATCCCTGCCTGGAAGTCACAATGGTGATTTTTTTTAAAAAAAGACAACTGGTCTTTGTTTTTCTTTGAAGACGTTTCGCTTCTCATCCAAGAAGCCTCTTCGGTTCTGACTGAATGGTGGAAAATGGGAGGATTTATATTTCTTGCAATCATCTGGTCATTAGTACTCTTCCTGAGAGTTATTGAGGCCACTTGGAGGTTTAGCTATGCCCTCGGGATCACCTGAATAGTGCAAATGGGTGTGGAACCTTCTTGGAACTTCTGAAAGGATTGTGTTGTAAACAGAAGATAAGTGCTAGTTTAGCAACGGATGGAAACTAATCAAGGACAGAAGCAACCTGGAATTAAGGAGAAACTTCCAAATCGTGAGGAAGAAATAACCAGTGGGACAGCTTTGTCTTCAAAAGTCATAGGTGCTTCATCACTGGAGTATTTTAAGAAAAGACTGGACAACCACTTGCCTCAAATTGTAGGGCTACCTGCCTGAGAAAGGGGGTTGGACTAGAAGACCTCCAAGGTCCCTTCCAGCTCTACTCTGAATTGATTGACGTTGCACCTGTCTGTTTTACAGCTCAGCTAAGACACACGTCTTTCCCCTCAAGATGCCTGTTTATCACATTAGTCCCTATAACTTTGCCATGCACTTAGGGGGTGACTATCTGGGAGATTAATGAGGAATTTGTTCTCCTTTGCAGAACAGCTAGGAAGAGCTTCCCCTTCTCTAATGAATTGTGGAGATCAATCAGAGGCTGACCTTTTGTTTATCAGCTGATTTGCTTCTCTCTTTCAAGAATGGTAAGGAACGTTTTTGGCCCCCGGGGTGACTAATCTAAGACATATCCGTGAGTAACTATCCTGCATGGACATTTGGAAAAGATGTGCTTATTCAACCTTCGTGTTTTCAACCATCTGTTTCTCTCTGTTCCTCTTTGTGTATGTTTTTCTCTCTCTCTCTTTTCTCTCTCTGTTTTTCTCTCTCTCTGTGTGTTTCTCTGTGTTTCTTTCTGTGTGTTTCTCTTGCTCTCTTTTCTCTCTCGTTGTTTCTCTCTCTGTGTTTCTCTCTGTTTCTCTCTCTGTATCTCTGTGTTTCTCTCTGTTTCTTTTCTCTCTCTCTCTCTCTCTCTCTCTCTCTCTCTCTCTCTCTCTCTCTCTCTCTCTCTCTCTCTGTCTCTAATGGCTGAGAAACAAGAAGAAAAGGAGGCTGGCCATTAGTTTTCTGCTCATTATTTTATTGTCTAGTAGCCAGCTTTCCCTCATTCTCCTTCTTAAATGCCCATTTAGCTGCAGTACCAGAGTCCCTGGAGAAATGAAATGAGATAAGGGATCTCATTTTTCTCGCATTCCTTTGCAGCAAAGGTAAAAAAGAACATTGCCCCCCACCCATTTTTAAAAAAAAAAAAATGGATTAAAGGGTTTATTTGGCTGAGGGCACCTTTGGCAACTTGCCAACTTGAGACCCTAGCAGGTAAGGCAAGCGATGTGGAGACAATCCACAGAGGCTCGCTGAATATCAAATCGCAATTTTCATATTCCTCTCTGACATTAAAAAAAAAAAAAAGTCCCCAAGTCAGAAGCAGAGACGAAGAGCAAAAATGGTTTATGGCAACGGGGGGGAGGCACACCCAAGTATAAAAAGGATGCACCCCCAGACCCTCAGGTTCTGCAGCTCTCACAACGCTGCAATTTACAGTATGGTGTGGCTTTGAGGACTATATGGTGACATTTTTAAGTGATTTATGTTTTGTAGCGGTGTTATTTTTTTCTCCTAGCGATTTATTTTTTTCTCCTCTCCTCTCCTCTCCTCTCCTCTCCTCTTCTCCCCTCTCCTCTCCCCCCTTCCTCCTCCTCCTCCTTCTCCTCCTCCTCCTCTGCCTTCCCAGGAGACTGTGAATTCTAGTCTCAGCTTAGTATAAAAGTCAGCTGGATGTCTTTGGACTAATCACCAGGAGACAGTGAGTTCTAGTTCTGCCTTAGACATGAAAGGCTGCTGGTAACTTTTAGCCAATCACCAGGAGACAGTGAGTTCTAGTACCACTATGGGCCTAAAAGCCAGTTGGGTGACTTTGGATCTATCAGTAGGAGACCGTAGGTTTTAGGCTCACCTTAAGCATGACGGCTGGCTGGGTGACTGGGTCAGACACCCTCCCTCAGCCCAACCCACCTCATAGAATTGTTGTTGTGGGGAAAACAGGAGGAGCGTGTGTTGGATATGTTTGCCACCTTGAGTTGTTTGAAAAAAAAAGGGGGGATATAATTTGGGATATAAATAAAATAAAATTAAAATAAATTAAAATAAATAAATAAATAAATAATAAAATAAAATAAAATAAATAAAATAAATAAAATAAATAAAATAAATAAAATAAATAAAATAAAATAAATAAAATAAAAAAATAAAAAATAAAATAAAATAAAATAAAAAAATAAAATAATAAAATAATAATAAAATAAAATAAAATAATAAAATAATAATAAAATAAAATAATAAAATAAAATAAAATAATAATAAAATAAAATAATAATAAAATAAAATATAATGATAGAGTAAAAAATAAAAATACAATACAATACAACACAATATGAAAACATTAAAAAAAATATTTAGAGGGAGGGAAGGCTGCTTTAAGACTAACATCCACTTCAAGTGAATTCCTTAAAGCACCATTATCCTTTTTTTCACCATTATACAGAAGCCTGATGTGGGGAGTCAGCCCCCCCCCGAGAAAGAAATATTTTGGGGAATATTAAAAGGCAGAATATTATATATCCCCAAAGGATCTTAAAGGCAGAACCCCCCACCCAGACAGAAACCAGAAATGCAGATGTGATAATCTTTTCAGAAAGATTGGACCCAGGAAGCTTGAATTAGAAAAACAAGAATCAACAATCCCTCACACCAAACAGTCATCAGCCACACCCCCAGGGAAGCAGGATATGACCTTTGGGACATGATAGGATTAACCCACCACCATCAGAATACCAGAAAGGCACACTCAGACTCAGGTCAAAAGTCATGCCACAGGAACAACTCCAAACAAAAGCCCAAGAAAGTATAAAAACCCAGCAACATGTGGTCAGCTTTCCCAGAACCACCTTTCTATCTGGCTCTCCTCTTCTATAAACTACAACCTTCTTTCTAAAGCAGTTTCCATTTTGTTTATTCCCTGCTTGGACTGGACCTTGATGAAGATTTTTCTTTCAACACTGTAAAAGCTTTAAAGAATAGCAGCAGAGATTAAGGCCACCCTATCTGGACCCCAAACGTTCAAGATGACCACCTCATCGTGGCAAGGAGATCCACCCAAAGGTCAAACTTGGTAGCCCTAGGAATGCTCCTGTGCTCAAACACACTTCCTAAGCAAACATCTCCCAGGTTGTGTCTCTCTGTGTGTTTGCCTGATATTGTGCAGCTTCTCTCAGCAACTGAGCTTCAGTTAAAGGTCAAAGAGGAACAGGTGATATTGAAACGGTTGCCTGCAGGAATTTCTTTCAGATCAGAAGCCACGGGTGGCCAGGAAGTCTACTGAGTGATAGAGACAGATGTAATAAGAACACACCGCACACTGAGCGAGAGAATATGCTTCTCTCTAGCTCAGTGATCAAGTGTGTTAAAATAATGAACCAGCCCTGATACAAGTCCAGGAGAGAAATGAAGCAAAATGGAAAAATACTGCAAGCTGCGTAGATACTGTAAGTGAACAGAATAGAATAGAACTGGAAGGGACCTTGAAGGTCTTCTAGTCTAGAGACTAGACAATCACCTGTCTGAGATGGTAGAGGTTCTCCTGCTTGAGCAAGGGGCTGGACTAGAAGACCTCCAAAGTCCCTTCCAGCTCTATTCTATTCTATTCTATTCTATTCTGTTCTGTTCTGTTCTGTTCTGTTCCATTCCGTTCCGTTCCATTCCATTCCATTCCGTTCCATTCTAATTATTCCATTTCTATTCTATTCTGTTCTGTTCCGTTCCGTTCCGTTCCGTTCCACTCCACTCCACTCCACTCCACTCCACTCCACTCCACTCCATTCCATTCCATTCCATTCCATTCCATTCCATTCCATTCCATTCCATTCTATTCTATTCTATTCTATTCTATTCTATTCCATTCTAATTATTCCATTCCATTTCTATTCTATTCTATTCTATTCTATTCTATTCTATTCTATTCTATTCTATTCTATTCTATTCTATTCTATTCCCTATTCCCTATTTTCTATTCTATTCTATTCTATTCTATTCTATTCTATTCTATTCTATTCTATTCTATTCTATTCTATTCTATTCTATTCTATTCTATTCTATTCTAATTATTCCATTTCTATTCTATTCTATTCTATTCTATTCTATTCTATTCTATTCTATTCTATTCTATTCTATTCTACTCTACTCTACTCTACTCTACTCTACTCTACTCTACTCTACTCTACTCTACTCTGTTCTGTTCTGTTCTGTTCTGTTCTGTCTAAAGCCAAACCACAAGTTTCTGTGCACAGAAGATCCATCTCTCTCTTTTTCTTGAAGAAAAAAAAATGTGCTATTTGTACAAGCCACAGAAAATTCTACACGGTATTCTCTTAGAGGTGCCAAAGATTTTTAAGGTAATAGCAATTTAGAAAAAGAGAATCATCAGATGCTTTTCAGTATTAATCAATAGTTTGGGGAGCTGGGAAGGCAACCCGTTTCTGCCCCATGAAATTGGCTGCAGGGGTGAAAATTGGATGACTCAGTTTCAGCTGAGTTAAATGAGTATTGATCAAATTTCTGAAGGGGCGGCTTGGAGCAACCCAACGAAATGAACAATCTAATTTTGTTTTCCTATCAAGAAATAAGGACCCGGTCAATGGATTCAGATGCGTTTGGTTCCCCCATCTGCAAGTTCTTAGGTTTTCTGAGAATTCTTTGGATCCAAATTAAGAAAGTAGTAGTAGAAGAAGAATGGAATAGAGCTGGAAAAGACCTTGGAGGTCTTCTAGTTCAACCCCCTGCTCAAGAGACCCTATATCAGTGGTTCTCAACCTTTCTAATGCCGCGACCCCATAATACAGTTCCCCATGTTGTGGTGACCCCCAACCACTTATACGTCATCGGGTGCCAGGGGCGTGGCCAAAGAAAAGGGGGAAAAAATGGTGGACAGCCTTGTTTGGCGACCCCCGTGAAATAGTCGTTCGACCCCAAATGGGGTCCCGACCCACAGGTTGAGAACCACTACCCTATACCATTCCACACAATCTCCAGTCTCTTCTTAGAAACCTCCAATGATGAAGGACCCACAACTTCTGAAAGCAAGCCGTTCCACTGGTTAATTGTCCTCAGTGTTAGACAGTTTCTCCTTAACTCCAGGTTTGGTCTCTCCTTGATTAGTTTCCATCCATTGTTTCTTGTTCTGCTCATTTTGGCGCTTATATTTTCCAAAGCACCAGAATAAGCACCAAAGTAAGTATATATTCATTGAAAGAATCTCCTTCGGGAAAGTTTACAGCTTGTTCCTTTAAGCGGGGGCTTTTGAATGTGGCTGCAAAAAATTGTAAGGATAGCCAGCTGATCCAGACAATTCAGCAGAAACCAGCTTTTAGAAATGCAGATGTAATAATCCATTCAGGAAAGTTAGAGCCAGGAAGCTAGAAATTAGGAAGACAAAGACACCTAAAATCTACATACCCCTCACCCAAATTCTAAGGACAGGAGACATAATAGGATTAACCCACCAATACCAAAAGGGCACATTCAGACTCAGCTCAAAGTACATGACACAGGAAATACAAAACCTCAAACAGGAACAGGAAACAACCTCAAGAGGCCCAGAAGGTATAAAAGCCCACCACTCTGCTCCATGTGGTCTCTTTTTTTCCAGAGCCATCTTTCTGTCTGGCTCTCCTCTTCGATAAACTACAACCTTCTTTCTAAAGCAGTCTCCATGTTTTTTATTCCCAGCTTGGACTGGACCCTGATGAAGATTTTTCTTTCTACAATGGTAAACTTTAGTCTTAGCAGTCCTAGGCTCATTAACAGAACAATGGAATCAAGATCACTTCAAGTGTTAGTACTACTTTATAATGTCTTGTTAAGACCATGCCTAAAATATAGCATCCAGTTTTACTCCCTATGACATAAAAAAAAAATATTGAGATTCCAAAAAGAGTGCAGAGAAGAGGAACAAAGGTAATTAGGGGACTGGAGGGTAAAACATATGACGAACGGTTGCAGGAATTGGGTGTGTCTAGTTTAATGAAGAGAAGGATTAGGAGTGACATGATAGTGAAACAATGAAGGCAAGCTATTCCATTGGTTGATTGCTCTCACCATTAGGAAATTTCTCCTTAGGTCTAGGTTGTTTCTTTCCTTGGTTAGTTTCCATCCATTGTTTCCCTTCTTGCGTTTTGGTGCTTTGGAGAATAGGTTGACCCCCTCTTCTTTGTAGGAGTCCATCAAATATTGGAACACTGTTATCATGCCACTTCTAGTCCTTCTTTTCATTAGATTAGCCGTACCCATTTCGTATGTTTTAGCCTCCAGTCCCCTAATCATTCTGCTTGCTCTTCTCTGCACTCTTTCCAGAGTCCCAGCATCTTTTTAATATTGTGGTGACCAGAACTGGATGTAATATTCCAAGTGGGGTCTTACTAAGGGTTTGTAAAGCGGTACTAGAATTTCATGTGGTTCTCTCTCTCTCTCCCTCCCTCCCTCCCTATCTCTCTCTCTCACAACATTTTGAGGGGATATTTGGCATTTTAAGAACAACATATGGGGTACTCCCTACAAAGGGATTCTGTGGCACTTATTATTCAGAAGACACACTGGTGAGAATATTTCCCATGTCTTCATCCAATCTTCCAAGAAGTTCTTTACTGCTTGCTTAGTTTATTTTCTGGGCAAATGGGAAATTACCAATTAGAGCATTAAGATGCCACTATTCTCCATTTTTTAATTCCTACAAATATCCCTAGAGCCTGTGCTGGGTGCAAGGGCATTTGAATAAAAATGATGATGCTAGAAGCTGTTAGCCTGCTATGTATCATGTCAGCTTCACGTTGTGTTGAAATTAAAAGAATAAAACAAAGAAAATTAGGCCGGAAAGGAACCCTGGCTGCCTTGTTGAAGAACAATGTTTTTCAAACTTTGCAGTTTTAAGATGTGTAGTTTGTTCAACTCCCAGAATTCCCCAGCCTGTATGTTTTTAGATGGATGGACTTCAACTCCCAGAATTCCCCAACCAACATGCAACCTGAGGAATTCTGGGAGTTGAAGAGTCCACAATCTTAAAGTTGCCATGTTTGAAAAACTTTTCTACAAGTCCTATTCTGGTTTGTGTGCTTCGAAACCAAGCTCAAAAACAAGAAGGACAAGAATGAACATAACGGAGTTGAAATGTAAAAAAATTAAATCTTGAATATATTTCCAAAAATTATATACTGAAGTTTGTGTAATGCATTATTCTTCATCAAAATGCAGTCAGGTGAAAATTAGGATTTAAACAAAAAAACGCTTTTAAGATTCAGCTTTTCTTTTTTCTTTTTTTCTTCCTTGCAAAATCTGAGCCAAGTGACGCACATTTTTGAACATATTCTAAAAAAGATGACAGAGTTGAAATCATCTGGAGTTTTCAATTATAGCAGCCCTGCTTCTTTCGGCTTTCTGTTAGTCTTTTAATTAGCATAAAGAATTGTCCGTATTAGGGGCAAATGTAGAAATAATGGCTGGATTCTACCAGCCTGCTCGACATGAAGACTGAATTAGACAGTTTTTCCAAAGTTATAAAAGATATTCAACCCTAAATTACTCAAAGAGCCTGAATTTGCACAGGCCTTTCCCTGCAAATGCTAACTGAGATATTCTTATTTTGTTGTTTCGTTTAACAATTTGGACACCCATTTTGTACATCCAGAGTCCCATTGGTTGCATTTGGTAGGCATTAAAAAAAAATATTCTAAATAAATAAATAACAAAACAAACTTTCTTTCCGTCCCTTTCCAAAATCATTCTCCTTCTCTCGGTCAACGTCTGCTAGACCTGATTAACTTCAATCCCTTTCTCTTCATTCTCACCCATGACCTTGGAGTCCTAGTGGACGATCAGTTGAGAAGGGACCCCCCTTAGTTTTCCAGAGAGTACAGGGAATCCTCAACTTATGACCACAATTAAGCCCCAACTTTTTGTTGCTAAGTGAGAGATTTGTGAAGTGAATTTTGCCTCGTTTTACAACCTTTCATGCCACAGTTGTTAAGTGAATCACTGCAGTTGATCAGTTACTAACATGGTTGTTAAGTGAATCTTGCTTGTCAGAAGATTACAGAAAGTGATCACATGACCCTGGGACTTGCAACCATCATAAATATGAGTCGATTGCCCAACATCTGAATGTTGATCACATGACTTAAGGCGGGACTAGAACTCCCAGTCTCCTGGTCATTGGCTCAAAGTCACCCAACTGGCTTTCATGCCTAAGGCAGGACTAGAACTCCCAGTCTCCTGGTCATTGGCCCAAAGTCACCCAACTGGCTTTCATGCCTAAGGCGGGACTAGAACTCACCGTCTCCTGCTGTCTGGCCTGGTGCCTTAACCACTAGATCAGACTGCCTTTCATTGATCATATTCAACCTAGCTTTTCACCTTACAGCTTTAAATTTTGCGTTCAACATCCCGGCTCTCCTAGGTTATACGTGTAAAGTTCTCCTTGTTTTTAAGCCATAAGCAACAGATCCCTTACTTGTAGGGAAGGGTCTTTAAGAAATATCTCAGTGTTTTCTCATGCTAGCTACACGCTTCCCTCACTGTGGCCTATGATTTAGCAGAGAAAATGGGACCATTGCACCTGGTTGTTAAATGATTTATGGTACTCATTTCCTCCGAGGTCTAAATATTAGCCCATGACCAGGGGTAGGCAACCTTGGCTCTTTTATAACTTGTGGACTTCAACTCCCAGAATTCCTGAGCCAGCGTGGCTCAGCTTGGAAACCTCTCCCTTTCCCCTCAGCACGGCTGGCTCAGGAATTCTGGGACTTGGTCCACGAGTCACAAAAGAGCAAAGGTTGCCTTTCTCTGGCCTAGGCCTAGGTCGCTTTATGACTCATGGACTTCAACTCCCAGAATTCCTGAGCCAGCATGGCTCAGCTTGGAAACCTCTCCCTTTCCCCTCAGCATGCCTGGCTCAGGAATTCTGGGAGTTGAAGTCCACCAGTCATAAAAGAGCCAAGGTTGCCTACCCCTGGGTTAGACCGAATGAAGGATGAAAGCAAGGTGAAAGCTTTGGGGTTCTGTTGCATTCCAAATGTGAACAGCAGGGGGCAGCACTCAACCAATCTTGAAAAACTAAACCTAGTCTATTGGAAGTGATGATAGTTAAATGGGAGACCACCAGAACATTTCAGGTCTGCGCAGGCTAGATTCGGAAATTAAACAAACAATCAAGACAACAAAAGCATGAAGATGGGAATGACAAAGCAATATAATTTTGCCATGGAGATGACCCAGACATGTCAAGCTTGACTCAAGGGAATATTGTTTTTTAAAAAAATATAATAAAATAAAATAAAAAACTGTCCAAGAAAAAAGTAATAATTAACAAACAGTTATGTAACTGTTAAGCAACTTTCCATAAAATGCTACAAATCTTCAGCTTTTTTTCTTTTTTTTTAGCAAGCTTGGTTCTGTGCGAGGTTATCTTACCCGGGGAATAAAGGAGGCAAACCGCAAGCAGCAGCAATTATAATCAAGATTATAAGGAAAACAATGTGAAGCCTGATTCGGGGAAGAAAAGCTACAGTTTAAAAGACGCTGAAAACTTTGAAGAAACTTCCTGCAGCTTCAGTAACGGCAACAAATTACGAGAAATTCAAGGAACAGCAAGGGACTGGCTGATGCCTTATGAATAATACAGATTCCCGTGCTCGCCTTCACAAAATAAAACCAGGGTTGTGTTCTCAACTAACCTCAGGGCCTTATTTGTAAATTTAGAAAAATTCTCCTGACCAGTCTTGACTGAAACAGATATAACTGCAACACAATGCAATGCAAAATAGCAATAGCACTTAGACTTAGATCCTTCCTCAGAGTGCTTTACAGCCCTCTCTAAGTGGTTTACAGTCTTCCCTCTCTCCTTCCCTCCCTCTCCCTTTCTCTCTCTCTTTCTCCTCCTTCCTCCCTCCCTTTCTCTCCCTTTCCCTCTCTCTTTCTCTTTTTTCTCCTCCCTCTCTCCCTCCCTTCTTCTCTCTATCCCTGCCTTCCTTCCTCTCTCCCTCCCCCTCTCTCCATTTCTCTCCCTTCCTCCCTCTCTCCCTCTCTCTCCCTTCCTCTCTCCCTTTCCCTCTCTCTCTCTTTCTCTTTCTTCCTCCCTCCCTCCTCTCTCCCTCTCTCCCTCTCCTTCTCTCCCTTTCTCTCCCTTCCTCCCTCCTTTTCTCTCCCTTTCCCTTTCCCTCTCTTTCTCTTTTTCTCCTCCCTCTCCATCCCTTCTTCTCTCTCTCCCTGCCTTCCTTCCTCTCTCCCCCCTCTCCGTTTCTCTCCCTTCCTCCCTCTCTCCCTGTCTCACCCTTCCTCTCCCTTTTCCTCTCTCTCTTTTTCTCCTCCTTCCTCCCTCCCTCCCTCTCCTTCTCTCCCTTTCTCTCCCTCCCTCTCTCCCCTTTCCCTCTCTCTCTCTTCTTCCTCCCTCCCTCCTTCTCTTTCCCTCTTTCTCTTTCTCCTCCTCCCTCCCTCCTCTCTCCTTTCCTCTCTCTCTCCCTCCCTCCTTCCCCCCTCTCTCCCTTTCCCTCCCTCTCTCTCTCTCCCTTCCTCTTTCCCTTTCCCTCTCTCTCTTTATCCTCCTCCCTCTCTCCTTCCCTCCCTTCTTCTCTCTCTCTCCCTTCCTCCCTTCCTCTCTCCCTTCCTCTCTCTCCATTTGTCTCCCTTTCTCCCTCTCTCCCTTTCCCTCTTTCTCTTTTTCCTCCTCCCTCTCTCCTTCCCTCCCTTCTTCTCTCTCTCTCCCTTCCTCCCTTCCTCTCTCCCTCCCCCCTCTCCATTTGTCTCCCTTTCTCTCTCTCTCCCTTCCCCACTCTCTTTCTCCTCCCTCCATCTCCCTCTCTCCTTTCCCCCCCCCTCTCTCTCTCCTGGAGTGGAGTGGAGTTCACTTCTGCTCCTCATCTCAGTATCTTTTCTCATCAGAGCCAATCGCCTGGACATCATTTAGAGATTTGATTTGGCACAGTTAAATCACAGATGCTGGTCTATGGGAGTGAGAAGTTGCAACAGAATGTTGCTAGATTTAGGATTGGCAGCCATGCTTGGCGAGAATTTCTCACTCAAGTTGCATCAGCGTTGCTTCACCATGTCTAATTCTTGTTGATTAAGATTATTTCAGGGTACAGAACTTCTTTATAATAAATTAAACACCCCTTCTTTTCTTGACCACTAGAAAAAATATTCTGGATATCCCCTTTTGTATTGAAAGAGGACAGAGAAGAGCAACAAAGATGATCAGGGGACATAGAGGCTAAAACGTGAAGACCAGTTGCAAGAATTAGGTATGCCTACTTTAATGAAAAAAAGGACTAAGGGTGACATGACAGCAGTGTCCCAATGTCTAAGGGGCTGCCCCAAAGAAGAGGGGTCAACCTGTTCTCCAAAGAACCTCAGAGCAGAACAAGAAGTAACGGATGGAAACTAATCAAGGAGAGAAGCACCCTAAAACTAAGGAGAAATTTCCTGACAGTCAGAGCAATTAATCAGTGAAACCACTTGCCTCCAGAAGTTGTGAATGCTCCAACACTGGAGGTTTTAAAGAAGAGATTGGACAACCATTTGTCTGGAATGGTACGGGGTCTCCTGCTTAAGCAGATAGTTGGACCAGAAGACATACAAAGCTTGAGCAGATAGTTGGACCAAAAGACATACAAAGCAAAAGAAGTGGAATGTGTGTGTGGGGGGGGGGGGAAACCAGAATTTTTGGTCTGGTACCACAATTGGTAGCATCAGAAGACAGAAGAGTAATCTCAGCTCATTATCCAGCAATATACATGTGTAGAGAAATTGGGGGGAAAAAACCCACCCCAACGTGGAATGCATTGCAAAATTAAGAAAGACCTGGGATTCCAATAAACTAAGGGCAAGGAAATAGAATACACCTCTTTTGGATGGAAGCAAGGAGCTATAGTAGCAATAATTAAGGCAAATTAAAGGTTCAGACTCACATACCCCTAACCAAGGATGTACATTTTCTCTGACTACTTTACAGGGCTGACATATCTTGACACCATTTTTGCAGTGAACAAAATCTAATTATGAGTACAATGTAAAAAGAGAAGAGCAACCAAGAGGATGGGGGGGGGTCAACCTATTCTCCAAAGCACCTGAAGGCTAATCAAGAAGAGAAGCAACCTGGAACTAAGGAGAAATTTCCTGAGAGTGAGAACAATTAACCAGTGGAACAACCTGCCTCCAGAAGCTGTGAATGCTCCAACACTGGAAGGTTTTAAGAAGAGATTGGATAACGGTTTGTCTGAAATGGTATAAGATTCCCTGCTTGAGTGGGAGGATGGGACTAGAAGACCTCCAAGGTCCCTTCCAACTCTATTATTCTGTGATTTGCTAAGGCAGGGCTCTTCAGACATGGCCCTTTTATGACTTGTGGATTTCAACTCCCAGAATTCCTCAGCCAGCCTCCATTTTGTTTGTTAGATTTAAGACAAGAGTCTTCAAACTTGGTCCTTTTATGACTTGTGGACTTCAACTCCCAGAATTCCTCAGCCAGCATGCCTGGCTGAGGAATTCTGGGAGTTGAAGTCCACAAGTCATAAAAGGGCCAAGTTTGAAGACCCCTGTGATAAGGGATCTGGAGGCTAAACCATATGACGAATGATTGAGGGAACCAGCTGTGTCTAGTCTAATAAATAGAAGCACTAAAGGTGATATGATAGTAGTCTTCCAGTAATTGAGAACCTGTCACAGAGAAGAGGCAGTCAACCTTTTCTCCAAAGAACTTGAGGGCAGAGCAAGAAGTAAAGGATAGAAGATTGTTAGAGAGATCCAGCCGAGAGCTAAGGATAAATTTCATGACTGTGAGAACGTTTAACCCAGGGGTCTTCAAACGTGGCAACTTTGTGGACTTCAGCTCCCAGAATTCCTCAGCCAGCCAGTGGAACGCCTTGCCTCCAGAAGTTGTGGGTGTTCCAACACTGGAGGTTTTTTTTTACAAAGAGATTGGGCAACCCTTTGTCTGAAATGGTTTAACCTTTCACTGGCTGCTGTCTGTGACTTGGGAATGTAGCCATCAAAAACCCAAAGGGTCTGTGCAATCCCAAGAACAGTTCACCCAAGAAATCAACAACATCTTATGTCCTATAACGAGAGAAAAGGTATCGCATTGTAATTCACCTCTCTTCTGCATGAGCGTTACCTGTGAGGTCCAAAGGATGGCTCGCATTGGCAGGCCTACTGCAATCGGTCAAGTCATATTTGAATGATTTTTGCCATAATTGGTTGGGCAGGATTTTCAGTTGCAGGTCTCTTTTTTTTTTTTCCTGCAGATTGTCTCTAAATCAGTAAAAAGAGTTGCTTTGAATTGTAATTAACACTGCAATCAGCTGTGAGGCTTTCTCGTGTTGTTGTGTAGTTTAACGAGCGCTGAGATTGGAAGCTAGGTGCCCAAAACATAATAGGACACAAAAGATAGTTTGTCTCAGTAACTGCAAATATATGACTACTTCACATAGCCTACTAACTCATCCAGTCCTTCTTGGAGAAGGTGTATCTTGAGAATCGGTCAGAAGAAGCCCTGATCACCATCTGAATGCTACTAGAAATGGCCAAGTCTTTGCAAATTTCGCTAGAGAACCACTTCAACATTGTCCCAAGTTAAAACTAGATTGAAAGGACAAGATGTGTTGTTCTATTCTATCCCATATCCTATTCCACTCCATCCCCATATCCTATCCTATCCTATCCTATTCTGAAGATCTATTGCTCATATCTATGGAGATTCTCAGTCCTCCAGGTAATAATAATAATAATAGTAATAATAATAATAATAAAGTTGGAAGGGACCTTGGAGGTCATCTAGTCCAACCCCCTGCTGAGGCAGGAAAGCCTATATCATTTCAGACAATGGCTGTCCAATCTCTTCTGAAAAACTTCCCATGCTGGGGCACCCACTGTTGGAAATTCTGTTTATATACAGCATCAGTACAGTCACCATGTGCTTTACTGCTCAACTGTTTAACTGTAGCAGGAAATGGGAAACTCTACTTAGAACAGTGGTGGTAACAGCAGGTTATTCCACTGGTTAATTGTTCTCGCTGTCAGGAAGTTTCTCCTTAGTTCCAGGTTGCTTCTCTCCTTGATTAGTTTCCCTCTGTTGCTTCTTGTCCTGCCCTCAGGCGCTTTGGAGAATAGCTTGACTCCCTCTTCTTTGGGGCAGCCCCTGAGATATTGGAACACTGCTATCATGTCCCCCCTTGTCCTTCTCTTCATTAAACTAGACATACCCAATTCCAGCAAACTTTCCTTATATGTTTTAGCCTCCAGTCCCCTAATCATCTTTGTTGCTCTTCTCTGTGCTCTTTCTAGAGTCGCAACAGCTAATCCTTGTGGAAGGATTAGCAAGACACAACCTGCATTGGCTGAGACTGATTGACACCTGCCATGGTGCACTTTGAAGGGAGAGGGAAGGAGAAATGCATCGTTCAGATGTATCCTAAATCTGCTCTGAATCAGGTTGTGAACAAGTTGTACATTTTCCACATGGGAGTAACGGCAACAGCAGAATGCTGCTCTCCATTCATCATAACATCATGGCTTTGTATTAAAATGTCTGGAGGGACTCAGGGG